AATTCAAATGAAAATGCAGGTATAAAATCTACCAAATTATCGTTCTCAAAAACATATTTCCTTGACATATCGATAATTTTAAAGTTCCACGCTAAATTCCTCTATACTTGACTAGAGTGATATCCGATTTCATTCTTCCCTACTGTCGGCAGTTGCAGATAGATCTGTTGGCTCTTGGTGTCAAACCTATAGAGCTGGTACCGATATTTTCAAATCGTGAGGTCATTATTCGTTGCTTAAATTTCCTGTAATCACCGGGATCAGAAGCTTCTTAATAATAGAACGTGTTTCACTGATATCAAAGATGCAACATACAGAATCACCTTCCCCAACCCCCACTTTTTAAGCAGTACATTTTTTTCTGTCAATGTTAAGGAACCCCTGTAATGTCAAAAACGGAGTTTCAGCAATTGTTACTGTTTCTTTTTTGCCTATAGCACCGTTGCCACTGGACTAAAACTACAAAGCTTTGGGCATACTAGCAACCCCGTGTGGAAATTTCATAAAAATCCGAGCGGTTATTTCCAAGTTGATGAGTTTTTCGTGATGTAGATGTCATATGACTTAAAAACGTAACATCTCATTTTAGAAATTTTTCGCGATTACAATACTTCCTCGCCATGGCGTGGGAAGTAAAACGGCTTTAAAATCGAGGAGTATTAGCGATCGCGATTATGAGTACCTATTTCCAGAACGACTTATCTACGCGATATTATATGAAATAGGGCCACCAAATTATCTGAATACGTAACAGTAGACAAAATTCGTCCAAAATACGATTTGTAGAGGTTTGCGCGCTTCGAAATTGACGCTTTATTTTTTGATATTTTTGGTTGAAATTTTCACAGTGTTGAAAACAAAACCCCACAGGATGCTATAGAGCCACTTTTTCATTTTTTTCGTTAGATTCTTTTTAAAAAAATCGCGAAGTTGAACAGAAAAAGTACGCACTTCAACCCATCATAAAACTTGTGCAAAAACAAAATTTCAAAATGTGCTCCTATAGCACCCTGGGCAATTATCTTCTCAACATACTGTATGAATTTCATTCAAAAATATTGCAAAATGGAGTGTCAGTTTTGAAGCAGCTGAACCCTTGTAAATGGCTTGAAACTCACTGCGTCGGAGCCGCCTTAAGATCCTCTGCCAGTCTGTTATATAATTGTTTAGTTTCTTGAATGTTATATTTCTTATGGACTCGTTTGTACTATGTAAACCTCTGTTCTCCCACCAATAACTGGTTGATCTGTTGGTGATGCAAATAAATAAATAAATAAAAGCGGATGCCCCCACTTCAAATTCAAACTAAGTACTCCACATTACTCCAGTATTAACAAATTTCCCCGAAATGATTGTGTTTACATATAAGATTCTTAGGTATTTATGAGACCTACAAAATGAGACCACACGTGAAAAGATCCGACTAATAGCAAAAATGTTATGTCCGAAAAACGAGGCAAAATGCAGGCTTTCGCACTTCAAATCCGTAAGATTATCATACTTCTAACTAACAACAACAAAATTTGTTTTTTCGTTCCTGATAACACTTTCGATTGAATCCCCGAAAACGCGTTTTCTCATTCTTTGTTGTTGAATAAAAAGTTTTCCCGCCAAAATTGGTGGACCCATTTTATGCATCCATTACTTGGCAAACCAGCGGTGTTTTCGTCTAATATGATTAGACTATGTAACGACCGTCAAAATTTAAGGGTTAAGTTTTCAAACATCCTTATCTATCTGCAATTTTGAACAAAACAACACCCGTGTCTTGGGTAAATTGGGAACTTACGTAAATCAACTTTTCTTCAAGGTCAAATAAGATTTAGCATCGGCATTTCTTTATGGCCATGTTTGAACTCAAAAAATGTATTTAGGTCATTGTCAATACCTATCAAACAAGAGGAAATTTTATAAGACACTGGGTGGAAAGATTGTAGTCAGATGGCGAGTTTTTAAAAATATTCATCTCACAACAAAGGTTTTTGGGTCATTTTTGTAGATTCTGTTCCTATACATGTTACCATAATAGCTACTTGCTATAGATGTTTTCAATAATCAAAATCAAACAAAAATTTTGTTCCGAAAATCACATTAATATTTTCAAATCTTCTATTGAATCCTGCAAAGTATGTGTCCCATGAAAATCAAAAAAAGTATCTACAAACTGACCTAATACAATTTATACCAAGAAATGCTTCCAATAGGCATGCATGAACATCTTTTTTTAATATGGGCATAAAAAACTGTTTTGTTTACGATTACAAACACACAAAAACAGCCACCGAACCACTGACGATAAATAGAGTCTATTCGTCGGTGTACCGAGCTTAGAAGGTCTAGTGATGGGAGACGCAAGGCATAGTTTGGGAAATATTCACTTAGTAATACATATTCAGTAATTCATGTTAATTCTTAATGTTACATCTCGCATTTCTGCTGACTTTATGAATAATCTGGATTGATGAAAAACTTTTTGAAAAATGGAATTTTCTGGTAAAAATTTGTTTTCGTAAAAAATTTACGATTTTTTTTACTATAATTCTGATCTGGACATTTAAAAATAGTTCAATACCATACAAAAACAACAGGAAAAATGTATCCAAACTGTATCTTAGGTAGTTGATAATAAAATAATATCTTACTGCCTTCGCCTTAGCAGGAAATTTATAGTGAATTGTGTTTTATTTAACAATTTAATTGTTAAGCTGTATACAAACATTACAAATGCATGTTTTCATTTACAACTAGCAATATAATATAATTTTCAAAATTCCTGGTGATTTTTCATTCCAATTTCTGATGAATTAAATTTTTTGACCTGCTAGGCCATCCCTTTTCTAACTAAACACACAAGTAGCTTTATATGGGCCCCTTCCCACTTCACTTGGCCCACTTCAAGATTTGTACCAAAATATGCCTTTATGAACTAAACATGACGAAACTATTTACTTCCAAAACAATTTATTTTCTCAAAAACATTTTAGATACACTCTAGTCGTAAAAAATACATATCTAAAGTTACTTATACCTATAACTAACAAACAATGTGCGAATAAATGCGCAAAGTTAACAAAGCAACAATTGAAAGATTACCATTGGGTAACATCACCTTTATTTTTTATTACGGCTGAAATTCTTTGGGACATAGTGTTAACCAAGTTTTGGCAAAAATTTGGTGTAAAACAATCCCATATTTCTTGAAGCTTTTGTCTCAGTTCTGTGATTGTACGAGCAGGATGTTGTCGTAGAACCTTTTTCATCTCGTGCCACAAAGTTTCAATAGGTGACAGATCTGGACTGCTAGAAACCCATTTCAAAAGTGGTACGTTATTTTCTTCCATCCATCTTATAGCCTTTTTTGAGGTATGGCACGTTGCACCATCTTGCTGAAACACAAAATCTTGGCCGGATGTCAAACATTCTTCCATCCGTGGTAAAAGCGATTCTTCTGAAATTGCCAAATTTTTGTTTGTATCCACATTTCCATCAATAAAAAGAAGTTTTCCTACTCCTTTTGATGGCATACTGCACCAGACCATAATGGTTGCTGGAAATTTCACTTTTCTCTTCAGACAGTCAATATGGAATGCTTCATTTTTTTTGCGAATAACTCTACTGCGACTGTCACCAACACATACTTCGAATCGGGCCTCATCACTCCATTGTATTGCACACTATTGTTGATGTGTCCATTGTCTATGTTCTTTAGCCCATCTAAGCCGATTTTTTTGCAGTGGAGTTAATAGTGGCTTTTCTTTGGCCTATAAACAAATTGTGCAACTTTAGGGTTTTTACTTCACTTTTTTTATAAGAAAACTTACCTTGCAAGTGCTAAATCCCAGTTTGTGGGCCTCTCTATGAGTTGTGGACCTCGAAATTCTCCTTCCACAGCGTCACTCCACAGAGCACTTAATTGTAAATAATTGGCACGCCTGTTTTTTCACGATTATTCTTCTTAATGCTCTTCGGTCGGCATTTATGATATTACTTTTTTTCACATATCGTGGCTTAATATTAACTGAACCGGTTACGTTATATCTTCTAACAATATTTCTCACACTGTACCGCGATAAGTCTAACAAAGTTGCAATTTCTGAGTTTGATTTGCCGAAATTAAAAAATTTTATTATCAGTAACCGAATTTTCTCACGAATAACCTTTCCTCTACCCATTTTGAACACCTTAACTACCCAAAATTATTTTAAAACGTATTCTGACAGCTGTGATCAATAAAAACAATTCTTATGGCTTTTATTTTTCACAGCCACCTATGCGTTATAGACTTATTTTGCCTTGAAATGAAAATAGGTTGATATGCTGTAATTGCAACATGTGTTATTTTTATGCTGCAAATTTGATTAGGGAGTGATAAAGTTGGTGTTTTCTATTATATATTATCAAAATATTCATTGTTAATTTTTTCAACCTATAACGCCCTGCTACATTTTTATTATTTGTGTTTGATAAGAAAAAAACTAAGATTTCAATAGTTGGGCCAACTGAAGTGGGAAGGGGCTCGTACTAGATATTTCTAGAAAATGCCAGAATATTGAAAAATAACCTGAACCGTGCGAATAGTACAAAATACAAAATCTTGTAGCGACGCCTTCTGAAAGTAAGGTTTTGGCCTATTCCCAGTTTATTTATGTTTCATTTGGCCTCACGATAAATGATGCACACATTTTCTCTGGTGAGCATTGACTTGAGAAAGTTTTATTTTTCTTATGAGCAATTATATGTTGTCCTATCTCGAGTTGGAACTCCGAAAAATTAATACATTTTGCTGATAGACAATCGTACAACATCAAACATAGTATACTAGCTGCCGACAAGAAATAAAATAAAAGTGTTTGATTCTCAGCGAAGTTGGCACACGATTCAGCTAAATACCGGTCATTTTAGTGTCCCATCACTATTCGATTTTCGTACCTAGTACTGGCTGAAATACACCGCTGGACGGCTGGACGCTGGAATTGACGCGGGTCGCGGGAGTTCGGTGGCGATCGTCGCGTGGAGAACTGCTTCGGAGTTCTACTTCGGGATGACTTTTTTACAAGCCGTATCAAGTGGTTAGTAAAAAGTGAATTTGTCTCTGCTTATGGGGTCGCAGCTTTTCGGTAGCGTGTTAGTGAAATTGTGAGAACTTCATACCTTTCTGGAGACGCCTAAATGTCTAGCAACGCATCTATAGGTGAGTCTTTAATGCTCTTCTATCACTGGTTAGTTTATTTCAAACTGTATGAACATCATTTAGATAAATAAGGATTTGTTTAGAAAATGGAGCGAAAATATTTCAATACGACGCGACGCCATAGAATGGCACATTAAAAAACGGTTCACTTGGATATTGCAGGGCTTTTTACGAACATTTCAATAATTTTTTGTAGATTCTAGGTATCAGCCGTGTCATACATAAAAAATGTTTCCATTTGATAATTTTGCTGAACTTTACGTCTTAACTGATATGAAGTTATTTAACGTTCTAGAATGTCTCCCGCTGGTAGCGCGCCGTTTTAGTGCATTTGTTTTGATGCCAAGCGGCATCAAACAAGCTAACTAGATGTCGTTAGAAACCGAAAATTTAGTAAATGTGATGATACAATTTAAAAGCCGGTACAATACAGGGTGTAATTTAATCGATGGCTAAGAATAGACCATATGATTCCTTAGCTAATGTTAGGAAAAAAGCTTATAAGAACATATGTCCTGAGCCTCTTAACTTTTGAGATACAGGGTGTTAAAATTTTAAGGAACAATTCGTCTTCTCATTATAACTGTAATACTGTTCTAGATATTTTGATAGAATTTGACATGCGCCTATTAAGCACCAATATTCATGTGTAGATGTAATATATGTTTTATTATGTCTACCACTGGCGTCCGTAAGGGATGTATACTGGAGATTTTTCGAAAAATATTGTTTTCAATAATAAATCTTGACTTTTTTCCGTCCGATTCACCGTTTTCGCGTAAAAAAATAAAAGCTGTTTTGGTTATTTTAATCAACTGACTTTACGTGAATAAAAATGAAACAAAAACACATCTTACCACCAAACTACCACATGAGGTTATAGCGATTTTGCAATGCATGAAATAAACAAGTTTGCAACAAGTTTTGACAATGTCTGTGGATGAAATAAACTAATACTATTTAATTTAATTGAAATAATCTGTTGCAAATAAATGAGGATTTCAAAAATGTTTTTTATTTTCATAAACGGACACCACTGGTAGAAATATTAAAAAATATGTTACATCGAAGAATGCCTATTGGTGCTTAGTAGGTACATGTGAAATTTGGAACAGTATTAAAGTTAATAGGTTTAGGACATGTGTTCATATAAACACTTCTTCCCAAAAATGAGCTAAGAAATCGTATCTTGTATTTTCAGCCATGAATTAAATTACTTGATTCTCCGCTGTCTTTTAAGCAATTTGATTCAAGTTCAACATTTCGGAATAAATGTAACTTGAGAGATTCGTATATATTTTTCCATTTGTTTCAGGTCCAGGATTACAGTTGAGACGGAAAAAAGAACAGGTGGGTTTTGTTTTCAGTTGTTTATGCTAAATTTTTCTAGCGAAACGTGTAAAATAACGATGCAGGGTGCTTGAAAAAATCTCAGTGATGTATTTATTTCACATGTCAAATTTCAAATCGTTAATTTTTCTTTCATTTTACCAGCTTTAGTTTGAGAGGCAATTTCAAAATATGTTTGTATTTGTTTCAGGTCCAGTTGTAGCTGAAAACGCAGCAGAACAGGCAAACTAGGTAAGCGAGTTTATTTGAAAATCTTGTTTCAAATGAGACTAAACAGTTAATAATGATCAATCTATGAAGAATTTGCTCGAGATGGACGTTTCGAATTGTTTTATATATTTTCATTGAAAACATATCGCATTACTGATTATCGAGATATAAATAAAAAGTTTGGATATACGGTAGTGAAAAGGTTAGTGCCAAGGGCCAGTTCTTGGATATTCTGAATAAATGTTATTAAAAGTCGAAGATTTTCTTTTCAAGATAATTGAATATTGAATACGGTACTGTACTGAGTAGACAAATGTTTACTGTGACCTGTCAATTTTTAGCTATAAATAAAACTTAGTTTTTCCAATCGGATATTTTTTATCGTTTCATCGGAAATTTTATAATCTTTACATAAATATACAGGGTGTCCCAGAAGTCGACGTCAAGCCGAAACCGGGTGATAGGAAAAGTCATAAAAGCTCTCAGAAAAATATTTAAAAAAATTTTATGTATGTGTTTTGAAAATTATAGGTCTTTGAAAAGATATAGAAATTTCACACCCTACGGCAGTCTGTCAACTCCTGTTACTACAAATATTAACTTTTTTGGATTTTATTTTTACAATGTAATGATGAATAATGCATCTTCAAACTGGTGTCTCAACATTACTGCAAACCTTTCTCGTTCAGGAAAAATTGCCACTTATTTCCCAACCAAGTATTCCAAAGTAAAACTTTGCTCAACTTTAACTGGCTGTACTGGAAAAAAATGTACTACGAGAGTTTGGCAAGTAACCTTAAAAGTTGGCGCATTTAATAACGATTCCAAAATGGTATAACACTTAGAAGATTACTCGTTAACTTATGAACAATTTTTATTTGAAAAAAAACATGAAAATTTTTCAAAATTTCCTAATTAAACAGCGATTATGAAAACGCACAAGGACCCTTAAGGATAACTGTTTGCACAACAGTGGGCGTCAAAATGCTGCTGATGATTATTTACCTTTACAGCAAATGCTCAACTGTTTTCTTTCAGCCGCAATACACGCTCGACATCTTCTTAAAAAAGATCGGGTTATTAAACGAGCGAATCCACGGTTATTAACAAACTCAGCTGCTTCCAATAGTCTTTGCCGTAGCTCAGCTACATTTTGAATCGGCTTGAAATACACTGTTTCTTTTACAGTTCCCCAGTAAAAAAATCTAAAGGATTCAAATCAGGTGATCGGGCTGGCCACGGTAGATATTGTACCAGACCGCCTTATCCATCTGCCTGGAAAGTTTCGATCGAGATACTCTCTCACTGAGAGTGCATATTGCGCTGGGCAGCCATCATGCTGAAACCACATGTCCCTGTAAATACTCAGTGGCACGTCCACCAATAAATTTTGTACATGATTTTTCAAAAAATCCAAATAAACTTCAGCAGTCAAAGTCTCTGGGAACTCAAACGGACCGATTATTTTACCATTTAAAATTCCTGTCCAATGGTTTATCTTGAAGCGATATTGAGATTTGTCTACTCTCATCAAATGTGGGTTTGCTACGTGCCACTCGTGTAAGTTATGCAGGTTCATGTACCCATCTTTCTTAAATGTGGTCTCATCCGACCATAAAATTTTTTCAAAGAACTGAGGATCTTTCCTGTGTCTTTCTAACATTGTGCGACAAAAAGCAACTCGGGGCTCATAATCCCGGGGCAGGAGAGGTTGAACACGCTGTATGTGGTATGGATGAAGCACATCACTTACTTGCTATTGCACACTTTGATACCGATCAGTACTCCTTCGTTTACTGCGCATCTCTACATGTTCGTGCTTGTTGATTTCGTACTGTTACTAATTTTGGATTCGTGAACTGGACTGTTGATCGCTTGTGATTTGGATTTGGACTGTTTAATTGCTCTTCAAAACAACATTTGCTTTCCTTAGACTATCTTTGATAGTGTGATTGTGCAGTGCCGCTATGTCCGTGTACACCGTACAAGAATATGCTAACATGCACCTCATTTATGGGGAATGCAGATGTAACGCTAGTGCTGCAGCGAGACTACTGTGAGAGGTACGCGAATGCAGCTCGTCATCCAGATCATCGAGTGTTCACAAATGTGCACCGCTTACTGTTCTCAGAGGGCCAACTACCAAACCAATCACACGGTGAGGGAATATCTTTCCTTCCTTACGAAGACGTGGTGCTAGGAGCTGTCGAGGAAGACCCGAATACTTCAGTGCGTGCAATAGAACTAAAAACAGGTGTGCCCAAAAGTACAGCCCATAGAATCTTGCAAAAAAACGTGCTCCATCCATACCACGTACAGCGTGTTCAAGCTGCCCCGGGATTATGAGCCCCGAGTTGCTTTTTGTCGCACAATCTTAGAAAGACACAGGGAAGATCGACGGTTCTTTGAAAAAATTGTATGGTCAGATGAGACCACATTTAAGAAAGATGGGTAAATGGTAAAATAATCGGTCCGTTTGAGTTCCCAGAGACTTTGACTGCTGAGGTTTATTTAGGTTTTTTTGCAAACCTCATTTAGAAAATTTATTCGAGGACGTGCCACTGCGTATTTACAGGGACATGTGGTTTCAGCATGATGGCTGCCCAGCGCACTATGCACTCTCAGTGAGAGAGTATCTGGATCAAAACTTTCCAGGCAGATGGATAGGGCGGTCTGGTACAATACCGTGGCCAGCCCGGTCACCAGATTTGAATCCGTTAGATTTTTTTACTGGGGAACTGTAAAAGAAAAAGTGTATTTCAAACCGATTCAAAATGTAGCTGAGCTACGGCAAAGACTATTGGAAGCAGCTAAGTTTGTTAATATCCGTGGATTCGCTCGTTTAATAACTCGATCTTTTTAAGAAGATGTCGAGCGTGTATTGCGGCTGAAGGAAAACAGTTTGAGCATTTGCTGTAAAGGTAAATCATCATCAGCAGCATTGTGACGCCCACTTTGGGGCAAACAGTTATCCTTAAGGGTCCTTGTACGTTTTCATAATCGCCGTTTAATTAGGAAATTTTGAAAAATTTTCATCAGTTTTTCCTCAAATAAAAATCGTGCATAAGTTAACGAGTAATCTTCTAAGTGTTATACCATTTTGGAATCCTTATTAAATGCGTCAACTTTTAAGGTTACTTGCCAAACTCTCGTAGTACATTTTTTTCCAGTACAGCCAGTTAAAGTTGAGCAAAGTTTTACTTTGGAATACTTGGTTGGGAAATAAGTGGCAATTTTTCCTGAACGAGAAAAGTTGGCAGTAAGGTTGAGACACCAGTTTGAAGATGCATTATTCATCATTACATTGTAAAAATAAAATCCAAAAAAAGTTAATATTTGTAGTACCAGGAGTTGACAGACTGCCGTAAGGTGTGAAATTTCTATATTTTTTCAAAGACCTATAATTTTCAAAACACATACATAAAAATTCTTTAAATATTTTTCTGATAGCTGTTATGACTTTGCCTATCACCCGGTTTTGGCTTGACGTCGACTTCTGGGACACCCTGTATAACACACGATGTTATTAAATTGAAAATTCATAATTTCATAAACTGTCCATATACCTACGTATACGACCATCTATAAATTAAAATGATATTATAAAAAAATAAACCCACATGCGTCAAAAGGTGAATAAATATCTAAACAAACCTATTGAAATGTAGCTGGAAAGCTTCACAGCAGTTTTCATTGCTCTGTATAAAGCAGCCTAACACGTCATATTTTTCAAAATGTTGATAATATTAATTTCCAGCCATCGTAAAAATGTAATATTACACGGAAAATGTAAATTTGTCATATATGGACACATATTGTAAAATTATGAATTTTAGATTTATTTATGTGTTATATATTTGTTTAAGGTTTTTAAAGTGTTCAACCAAACGAAAAAAAAATATATACATGATGTTCCATTAAAAAAACTAACTTTAATTTATAGCAAAAAATTGACATCTCATAAAAAAAATCTGACTGCGCCACTGGATTCTACGTGGAAAATTGTTGCCCGTTTTTAGCTTTGCGATATGTTAAAGGATAACGGTGCCAAAATGCAATATTTTCAATGTTGCCCTGTATATTAGAAATGAAACGGGCTCTGAAATAATGATTAATGCCATCTTTTTTTCACAAAGAGTAGCTCAGTATTGCGAAAACTATCTATATTTACTAGTAAATGAGAAACACCGTAATATCATCGAAAATGGGACACCCTGTACATAAAGATGCCATCAACGTATTATGAAAACGAACTAATTTTTGTGTACCTAATAAAAATTCAAATATTTCAATGCTTCGTTAAACAACTAATTGATTTCCAAAAATCCTAGCAAAATAATAAAATTGTATTTTCGGATTCGCTTTGGAATTCAGTTTCGTATTTTACCGGTGCTTTTGTATGCGTAGTTCTTTTAGTATAATAAGTACACTATAATATTACATTTTACTAAACTGGTAATATTATAAAATATATATAAAATTCGGGTGGTTCTTCACCAACTCTTTGAGAACACGTAAAAGGTTCGATAGCTGTATTTCTTCTATTCATCGATTTATACAGGGTGAGCAAAGGAAATCAGGTTTTTTAGCAAAGTTTGCGGCTATGTCAGATCCTCAATTTTTGATCTTGAAATTTTTTCGATGCGTCTTTTTGATCTTTGGACTATCCTTACAGGAGAAATTTCTCAAATTTTCCGAAAGTTTGCTATAACTCATATCGAATTTAAGAAAGTGTTATATACTAAGTGACATATAAATCCGAACACCCAGTTTAAATGGTTTTATTTTAATAAAATTTTGTATAAGTACTTAATGAAGCATAATAAGTAAATGATAAAAATTTCAAAATGATTGCACTGCTTTAAAGCCCTTTGACCTTTAATAATGTGTGGATGCACCCTGATGTGCTACGCATTCTCCAACGCGTCTAGGCATGCTTCTGATCAGGTGGTCAATGTCCTCCTGTGGTATCTCATTCCAGGCAACCACCAACTCCTCTCGAAGTGCTTCTAGAGTCTGAGGAGGACGTTGCAAATTGAGCAATCTCCTACCCATCATATCCCACACGTGCTCAATTGGGGATAAGTCGGGAGATCTTGGTGGCCATGGTAACAATGTGACATCATTATGTTGAAAGAAGTCTATTGTGACTCTTGCAACATGTGGTCGGGCATTATCTTGTTGGAAAGTTGGATCTGCCAGGGTAAAAGATGGGGTTCTAGAACTTCGTGGATAT